GGAGCTTGGGGCATATGTCAATGACGTCAGCACTTTCTGCAATGATTTCCTGCGAAATTACACACCACCACCACCAAGAGTGTGCGCTAATTAACTGCGAGCGAGGAGGGAAATGTGCCAACTGGCAGCCGGAATCGGTTAATTAATCTCTTTACCGGTAGGCGGCGAAACCAGAACCGCTTCAGCGTTTTGGTGGCACTTCCCCTGCTTCTTGGCGGCAAAGGAAAATGTGTGTCAGGGCTGGAATGCTTAGGGGCGAGAGGACGGCAAAAAGAGTCCTTGGACAACATTCGCATGCAAAATGCGAGGCGACAGCAAGGCAAACATAGCCGCAACATCGCTGATATCCACATCCTTCGCGGCACTATGAACTTATTTCTTGCTTTTTATGACGGCTGTTCCACAAGAAGCCTTTCCATTTTGACAGAACATAACGGAAGGCGAAGGATAAATCATTCTGGGATGGAAGGGATTGCTGTTTGTTCCGTGAAATAATAAAAACGTGTGAGCAACTCAAAGAGATTTCAGTGAATTCAATTTTACTCGGCGTCTCAAAATAAAAAATAGACGCAGACGACTGAGGGAAAAACAAACAAAACGGCAACAAGGACGTGGCAGCCAACCAGCTACTGCCAGGACTCAGTGCCACATGGACTCGGGCTTGTGAGGAGGTGTCTGCTGGGATAACATTTTAATAAAAATAAATTCGATCAACACTTTTATTTGCTCAGTTTCGATTCCATGAGCGAAGCCTGTGGCTACCAGATTTGGCATATTTATAATATTTACTCAAGGCAGCAGCGGGGAAAAATTGAAAATGGAAATAAATATATATGTTGCTATGTATTCGAGTGCACTGTCCAAATTGATCTACATGTGCTGAGTTTGTTATGGACGGAGACTTAAGTATTAAGTATTTATTACAAAAAATTAGAATGTATATCCAATCATCAGGACTTCTTCAAATTCTAGCCTTACATTTGAAACTGGTCGAAGTAAATCTCGATGTTTTACTTGTATTTTTAACTTTTAAGAGTGACCTCTAAGCGCAACACACATTCTCGAAAAACATTTCTTTGGATAGCAATCGCGATTTATGGTTAGAGCCTTCACCTGCAACGGCCCACTACGTTTACCATTACTATTATGGCTTTGTGCGAATGTCGCCGGGTCGGGGTCGGGTCGGCTTCCTGGCTTCCTTGGCAATTACAAATGTCACCTTCCACATAAACACATTGTTGTGCAATCAAACAGACCGTAAATAACAGAAACCAACCGAATTTACGAGGCACCCAGTCTGGGGCAGTTGGACGCAGAGGGTGTTTCTGCACTTCCGTTGCATGTCCGTCTTCGTTCGCCTTTATTACATCCGGTTCGGGGGAGTGAAAGGTGAAAGGCGAAAAGGTCGAACATGGCCACGAAGTGCGGCAGGTGAATTCGCATCCACAGATGGTGGGCATGGACTCATTGTCATTACCACATAGCTGGAACATTAAAAACGCATTCCCAGTGGGTGGTCAATTCTGCGAGCTGCCCAAAACAAAATTCAGAGCCCTGGGCTGTCGGTGAAAGCTTTTCCGACCGCTTTTCCGTCCGCTTTTCCGACCGCTTTTCCGACCGCTTTTTCTGCCCGCTATTTGACGTCCCCTTCAGCTATCTGCACCCCTCTGCAATCAATTTTATTGATTTGAATTCGCATTTGATTGCATTGCAATTCGATCGGATTCCACTTTCTTTAATTGTGTTTCGTTTCAAATGTGATTTACAAACGCACAAACACACTCCCGTTCACGCAGATACACCCGCTCACCCAAAACACAATTGAATAATGATAATTTCCCACGTACTTTTCGGGGCGAATAGCCGGCGTCCATTTTCCACGCCGACTTGTGCGGAACTGACCAACTATGTATACAGAGGCCCATGGCGAGATTTGTTTATTCGCTTGCCACATTATCTACTTTTCCATGCCTTTGTTTGCCTTTCCTGCCACTCGGCCGCTTTTCTTGGCCATTACCATTGCCATTGCCATTGCCGTTTGGCTGATCTGCGGAAACGGGAAAATCGAGAGATGAGCCGAAAGAAATGGCAAATGCTAGAGAACTTAATGAAAGGGAAACAGTTCGCACCACATCTGAGCTGCATTTGAATGTTCAGTGAAATGCCACTAAATTTTATATATTTTCGACCATTTCTATACCTATTACCCCTAGAGCAAAGGGTATCCTAGATTCCTTGAAAGGCGAAAAGCATGTAACAGGCAGAATGAAGCCGAGTAACGGGTATATGATAGTCGGGGCACTTGACTATAGCATTCTCTCTTGTTTGTATGGGTATTGTAAAATTGAAAAGGATAGCCTTAAGTTTTCGTAGATTTTTTCATCTGGCTTTCAAGCTATTACACTAATATATACCCTTAGTGTAAGTGGCTACAATTAGTCCTTCCGTAATTCCCCTCCCCGGTGTCGCATTACATTTTGCTGCAATTAAGTTTGGGTAATTCCATTCCATTGACACTCAACCAACCCAAATGGAAGTAGAGCGTAATGGCTTAATTAATATTATTAACGAACAGCAACAGCTCTTGCTGTTCGCCAATGACCTTCTAATTAATGTTTTCGCAAGCGATAATCATAATAGCCTGGAGAGCCACGCCCCACGCTTACCGCCCATTCGCACGCATCAAATTGAGCGACAACGAATTCTAAGCAAAACTTTCACCGTGCCGCCAAATTATGAGTTTACACGCAACAACGAGGAAATGTGTGCGTGGCGTGGGGCCTTGAAAGTTTTCACTTGGCACCATATTTTCCCATCGCATCCAGCCCGGAATGGGTGCGGTTTTCATGCACAGAGATTAAATCGCCATGAAAAACAGTTAAGAGCCTAAACAAATTATTAAGTTGCAAGAGAGTGAGCTATAATAATAAAAGTTTTTAGATATTTAGCACAAAAGGTTCAAAAGCCACTTAAGGCAGATGAAAAAATGTGTTTTCCTGTACACGTTTTGCTCAGTGTGACGCCAGCGAAAGGGCACGACTCCTAGGAAAAACTTGATTTGACTGGCGTCGAGACAAATCACGCTGACTGGCTCAACATGACAGTGCCCCAGGACCCAGAACCCAGGACCCTGGATCCAGGAAGCAGGACCCAAGGCAAAGCGATGATAAATGAACCTGCTGAAAGTGACACTGATTTTTGGTCAGCTGCAGTTGATTTCCAGTCGAAGGGTGCACACGTTGCGTATGAGTAATGTGCTCGTTGTCAGCATTTAACTCAGCACTCTCCGCACTTTGCTTACCCTCATTTGATTGCCGCACCGCGTGTGGCTGCCGCATTATTGACAATTTTATTAGGGCATTTTTGTTTGCCTGTTTATAATGCCGCCCGCACAAAGTAAACTCGTTAATTTCATAACATATGCCAACACATTTGGATTTCAGGGGTGGGGAACTCGTATATGTCTGTTTGTTGATGGCACGTTGACAGAATTCATGTGCGGCATAAAAACGACATCAGAGCCTGGGGAATAAAAGGCGAGTGTTGGCCTGCAGTCCTCGATCGCTTGTCATCAATTCAGATTACCTCATTTGCGGATGTTGAATGCGAAATGGCTAATTCGGTTCTATTCGTAATAAATAAGTGACAATAAATAACTTAAATTCGAGCAATGGAATTTAATCTCTATAAATTTCTAGCGGAAATTGCCATTCGAACTTCAAATCATTCGAAATCAATGTTTCCCCATACTGAAATTCCTTTCCTATTTCTGTATAATTCAGCCGTTTTCGGCTTTTTGAGAGTGAAAAATCTATTTATGCAATGCACGCAAGTGGCACTATGCAAATCTAACGCCACCAGAGCCTTGAAATAGTAAAAACGCATTGATTACACTTGAAGAGTCCGTTGGAGAAATTTGCATATTTCGTTGTACAGAAAGTATATTGGGAATCGGTAAATCAGGTCAAATGGAAAGGGAGGTTTAGGTGCCTGAGCTTGGAGTTTGTATATTATAAGATCGATATTAATTCGAAAGCTTAGGTATCATTGGCCGTATAAGTGAACTAAAATATGTGATTTTGTTTGGATTTTAAAGATTCAATTTGAAAGACATTTAATGTTGCACGAGTTCCAGAGGTAGAATCTAATGTGAAACAATCGGCATATATCCGCATTTGCTTTTCCCGAAAAGTTCAAAGTTCAGAGGCGTGCCGAACAAGAACATGACTGACAGTTTCGATGGGAAAGGCAGGGAAATCAACAGTTTGCCATCCATCTCGTCCTGCGAAAATACCAAAAGTAAGGCCTAGCGTTTAAGCCAAAGATTCTTGGCCCGTTGAAGATGATAATTGCGGAGGCGGCAGCTACTAAAATATTGAGTACGCTCCATTGAACAAGTCCTCGTAAATCAAACGCAACGAGCTCCCCCACTCGGACCCCAAGTCGAAACTTTTCCAGGACATCCGCCCCCATTTCGCCACTCCCACCACTCCAATCTGGACAAAGTGCTCTTAAAATTCGAGGAGAGCTAATCGCGTTTACTGTTGGCTCAGCTGAGTTCCCTCAGTGGGCGGCAGTGTTTGCTATTTTGGCAATTATATTCGGGCAAAGACAAATCAATAAACGTGTAATTACAGAACCTGGATTCCGGCAAATGGTCGCTCTTTAGCCAACAAGTAGGTGGGGAAGGCAGGGAAAGCAAACACACTCCAGTGATTTGAATGGGATTTTCTTGTTTTGCGTCTAATCAAAAGACGTCTTCTTTCGAATGTAAAATATTATTTTCTCTGATATATTTACATGTAATGTTTGTGCCAACATCAGGCAACTGATGTTCTATTAAGGTTGCCATTTTCTCAAACCTAATCTGCTTTGAAGCAAACTTCCAGAAAGGAAACTTTGAAATACGCGAATAGAAATAAAATGTCCGCCTTGCAGACCAAGCTCATATTACTAAAATGAAACTTTATTTAACCCAATCTCTGGACTTTCCATTGCAGCTAACCAACTGCGACGTGCTCTTAGATGAAAGGAACGTGCGATGCAATTGAATCCAAGCAGACAAACTGAAACGCACTACTGGATTGTAAGTATCCCTGCGGAGTGGACCTTAAACTTTCGAGTACTTTCTTATAATTTATTATAATTTTCACAACGTGTCAACTCTTATCTTTGCTGTTGCAATTATTGAGGCATCAAAACGGCAGGCCAAAAAGGCAAAGTCGTTGCCAAAAAATAGTTAGGCGGAGACAAGTGGCCACAAATGCTGAATGAAATGGTGGAAAGGCTGATGTGGCATTGTTTCAGCTTTGGCAGGATGCCAGGCTGGCAGGAAGTACCAAAGTGACTGGATGAGCCCAAGAGCCGGGCACAAAGGATGCCTTCGAGTGTGTGTCCTGGCAATTGAATTTTATTGCTCGAAAATTGTTTGGAAAATGCTGAATTGGCGACAAATGTGACTTTCAATCTACCTTTTTCCCAAGCACTGGTCTTGTGTACCAGAAACAAGTCACATTTGATTTGAGACCATGATCATTTATCGCTTAAATCAAATTAATGTATAAAATCCAGGGACAAGCCTAAATACCAAAGAGATTCATTCAAATCAGCATGTAATAAAGAAAGTGCTTCCTTTCCCTCCTTCTGGTTATGCATATTTCATGATCTATCCAGGCATTTTATCAATAAATCATCCGTGACCCCGTGCCCCAGTGAATCGACAGATTCCTGCACACACAAACTGATTTCTATCGACTCACGTCTGGATTGACATTCTTTGGCCTCGTCTCTGACCCCAAATGCCAACTGCAATTGACATTTCTGGCTGCAAAATTGATGATCCGCCTCCAAATCTGAAGCCGAATTTGGGTCTTGCATGTCCGTCTGTCCACAAAGTTAAAAAGATTATTTTCGCAAACGATTAGTAACTTCCTTAAAAAGCGCGTGAAAACAGATATGTACAATGTAATTTCCAACTTTGTAAAAATCGAATGATCCTTTGAAAAAGATGTCAAGTTGTTCACCGAACTTTACTTTAAAAAAGGCAAGTGCTGAAGATATGAAAAGCGACGGCGAAAACGTCAGCTGATAAGATATTATTGATTACTTTTGGGTTCAGCAATCCAAAAAAAATACATTATTCTATTAATGCTCCGGAAAAGGAAAAGGTGCTGTATAAAAAGGATCAGGAGACGGTTTCCTGATTTATAATAATAAAAATGATTGATTATGGGATAAGGCGCATACCTTTTATCACTAAAACAAAAATGTCAATATATATATTATTATATAAATTCCTTAATGTAAATATGAACTAATAATGCCTTTTGTTTCATTGTTTTCAGACCCTCTTTTGGTGTGCCTTAGGTGGTTTGATATTGGGTGGAATTGTTGTCATTTCATACTGGATAAGACGATGCAGGTATGTGTGCAACTAGAGGCTAGGCTTTCCCGATATCCCCCAGTGAATTTTGAAATATAAATACAAATAAATATGAATATTTCTGTTGCAATATGCGTTGACAAAAGCGCAGCAGGAAAACTCTTCAATCCAATTAGTCCGGCAAGAATTGTTTGGGCCTGGTTTTTCTCTGCGTATCTCTGCATGTTGTTTTCGTAAAAAATGTGAAATCGGGGTGGGGTACTAAGCCCTGCTACACGTGACGCCCCTTAAAAAGGGGGGACAACGTGAACGGGCCAACGACCACACCGAATGCACGTGGGGATTTTCACCAGCTCCCATGGAAAAACTGTGCTGTCGGATGGCTTTTCCAGTGCAGCCCGGATAGAGAGAGACAGCGCGTCCTCTATGAGCTTGTGGTGACATTAGTAAAGACGCAAAATTGCCAGTTGGCCGAGCAGAACAACTGAATAATTCAGCCCGGCAATTGGACGAACCGACGACTGTTTGAGCAATTAAGTTAATGATGCAAGGTCACTGGAAATGGGCCTGGCCAGGCCCAGGGCCCTGTGCCTCACCCCTCGGAAAATGGGGGAAATTCAGCTGGGACGGCCTGTTCTCCCCAACAATGACGCAGTTGACTTTCGGCATTTTAGAGGGCGGTGACCACTGGCCACCATTCCACCATTCCGTTCCCATGCCAGGATCCATTACGATTCTTGGCGCCACTTCGTCCGGGCAGACAGTGAAAAATATATGCCACAAATATACAGTAGAACTTCTATAAATCAAGCCGCTCAGTACCGCAAGAACCGTATAACTTATAGATAACTTAAGGAAGTTAAATATTTATTGGCGTTTTTTAAGTTATGTTGATTCTGAATTGGGCTTAGATCTGTTAACTGTTGTACAATTTTGTTGAGCCGCTAGTTTGGCTACGTAATATTCTTGTGCACCCTTGCTTTTCAGGCGGTTACAAATTTCACTTGAGGACACGCACTCTGAGGACAACTGACCGCGCCGAACGGCTTCCATTTTCAAATTATTCTCCGCAATTTTCATGTTGGCCTCACGCGAGGCCAGCGCGTAAAAAGTTTTCCCATTTCCATATGGAGCGATCAAAGGCAAGCCCGCAAACAAACAAACTGTAATATTTGCTTACAACCGAATGTCCTGGGAGCTTGGAAAATGGAGTGGGCACCAAGTGGGTGGATGGGGCTGGTCAGAGCGAAGGTAAACAGTCGTTGAGCGGGTCATGATTAATGTGTCACGAAGTGGGCAACATCACGACTATTTGCCGCAAGCACACACCTCCCACGCTTTTAATGGCAGACATGGCACAGTGGGAGTCGTTGGTGAAGCGAGGATAATAAACAGTTTATGTGCTAACGAAATATTATAGTCAAAATTTCAGGGAGATACAATCTGCACTTTGAAAACCAAAAAGGGCTTTTCCAATGCAGATGAGCAAGGAAACTGTTAGCATATATACTAGTACTATCTAGTACTACCAAAAGTACTGTTATAACAAAGGTGTTCTTGCTGGTGGTAGGCTCATGCATAAAGTAAACTAAAATGCTTCCAGTTCTTAGCTGATGTAAAAGCAAGAGGGCCCAAAGCTGAAAACTACCTGCTTTGACCTTGCCCTTCTGGTGCCAGTAATTCCGTTCTTATCGCGGCCCCACGGTAAATTATCCATACATTGTTAGCCCATTGTCAAGAAAAACAAACTGGCATGCCAAGTTCAAATGGGATTCGATGCGAGGAGGGGATTCGGCTGCTCCGTTGGCCAAGGGGGAGCTGATGGGAATGGAATGAGCAGACGAGGCGCGTTCCTTGCGAATGCCAAGCGACGGCGCTCGCCATGAGTCAGTTGGAAAATTGTCATAAAAATTAAAAATCAATTTTTATAATCCAGTTAGAAGGGGAAAACGCACAGTCGAAAGCGAGTCGGCAGGGGAGCGAGTGAGAGGGCTAGTCGGACCGACGAGTCAGCCGCAAATACGACCACAAACCTGAAGCGATATGGACACGCAAACACTCTAAGCCACTCACCCACAATCGGCCGTAGTAGCGACTTACACCAACGTTCGCGAATATATATACGAGTATACACATTCGTGCATACAGAGAACACGCTTCAGTGCGACTGGAATGAAGAAAATTCATAGTTTTCGCCCCAGGCGAAACGATACTCGAATCGCACCTTCATTAACGGACGACCCGAGCACCGTGCTGGCCACGTTTTCATGGCTTAAATATTCAACCAAGTTCGTCCAGATCGTCTAATTCGGCGCGTCAGCGAGTGAACTACTTTGTAAAACTTGTGGGAACTTTACCAGTTAATTTCGGTGCTCCCCAAAATTCTAATCCATTAAACGGCGCGCGGCCGTCAACTCTTCGCCAACTTTGTGACGTTCCCGAAACTATTTAAAAATTGATTGAAATTTGTCTGACCCAATCAACAATGAGTGCAACCATAATGAAGGCGAGGAGGTCGTGGAAAGTGCTGGTCTAGGGTGGAAAAGTCCCGAATCGTCGAAAGCAGGTGCCACTCCGCTCATCACCTCCATCATCATCATTTTTAATGTGCAATTCTATTTCGGTCCCTGAAATGGCGGTGGCAGATTTAATGAATGAAAATAATGGAGTCGTTCTGTGCAGCCAGTGGTGGTGATTTTTGGGCAGATTAATCAAGCAGGCATTGTTATGTACCCAAAAATAATAACAAACTTGTTCCTGTACTTGCTTGGAAAGTTAATCAAAAGGTGCTCGAGATGTTAGAATTTCATAAAGTACGAGTACACGTACAAAATATTCATAAATTTTAAGACCCACACTTTTTCGGCCCTAAAACTAAGGAATGTAGGCTTAATATAAAAAAGAAATTGCATATTTGTATGAATTCAAATTGAAATTGGCCAAGAAAGAAGTGTACCTTCTGAAGTTTCCCAACGCCCTAGTCATTTTGCCTTCAAGCCCACATAATACCCAAAAAAATAATTAGTAATTGCCTAAGGGCACGTTTATCAGCTATTTTTAACCAGAAGTGTGAGTAATATCTTGCTACTGGGCTCTCCGAAGGCGATTCAATTAAAGTGCCGAGAATTAATGTCTGAAACGCAGAACTAAGCCCCATATTGATTAATGACATCTGTTTCCATTTGTGTAGAGCTCTCTCCGGCTCCATTGCGTTTCCTACTGCCATTTACCGAAATTGACAATTTAATTTGCAATGAACAAGCCAGTGACGGACAGGGTAATGCAATAATCAAAGCGAAGGATAAGCCAGAACAGAACTCACATATCGTGATTGTGAATATGAATACGAATTTGACACCCGGACAAGTGGAAGGGGGCGGTGTGGGATTGTCTAGTGCACACCTGAAAGCTAAAAGAAAATAAAACGAACCACTTACACCGCTCCCAAAAGGAAAATCAATAAAGTGTCTTGAGAGTAAAAGGCAGAAACGAACTTTGAGCATTTGTGTGCGGTTCCTACACAGATAAGTGGGCTGAGGGGTTTTGCCAGCACTGGGCAAAGCAAATACGATTAGGCCAGCCCACAACAGCAACTCTAAACACAATTTAAAATTAGAATTAGACAATTAGACAAATAGGCCGCCGCGGGCTGGCAAAGTGCTGCTAACACGTGCAAAAACTAAGGCTGCCTCAGTTCTACACACTTCTATACAGAGCTCAATGTCACGCGGCTGTTGAGGGGAAAAGGCGCGACGCACGGGGCGTATGATTTATTTAAGCGTCTATTAAAGTCCTTTCTATTGTTTCGCCGCTGTTGCCGGCGTGGAAGTGGTTGTTTTTATTGCTGCTGTGGCTTAGTTTTCCTCGTGTGAAGGACATTCGTTGAACTGTAGCGCATTCGCTTTCGGTAAAATAACTTCAAAAGTTTCGCATGCCGAGGGGCGTGTACTTTTTAATTAACAAAACAGCAACAGCCACAGTCACAGCCACAGTAGTGAGTGATGTGTGGCGGCATCTGAAGTGGAAATCGGATCAGATATTTTAATTGCTGCTCTGCTAAAACAAAGCCACTCTACACGAACACTGTGGCCTGCTATTGCAATACTCGAAAACTCGAACTTTGTCATATAATTCAACCTGTTCGACCATTTTAATAACCATTTTATTGACCACTTCAAGCATTTTGGACTTTGAAAGGCTAACATATGTGTCCATTAATTCATGAACCTACACTCGCATGGAATGTAAATGGGTATTTCGTTAATTGGGAAAATTTGGTTTCAATTTAAAGTTTTATCTTGCCCAAACACAAAAAAGATCAAATAATGTCAGTCAAATAAATCGAAATAAATGCATTCCACTCTTAAATATTAAATCTGTACCAAATATTTTTGTAAGATTTCTATACTATCAGAGTCCGGTGAAATTCAATTAAGCTTAGACAAACCACCGTCAATCGCAACCGAAAAACTAAACAATTGCGAAATTAAGCGTGGGAATCAATTAAATGATGAAAATATTGGGGTCAAGTGGCTTCGCTCTCATCGCAATTCATTAAATGCCGTATTTCCCCGGATTTCCCACCATTCACCCCAGCAAAACGTATGAATCGAATTGAAAACTAAAATTCTGTAAACATCGAACCCTGAATTTAGGTGTCTTGCATTTTTGGACTGTAGCGAAGTTTGCCTAAGAGATCGCAGTCGGTAGGTAAATTTGCTTTTGTTGCATCAGCCAGTCAAATTATCGAGCGATGCAAATTAGCCAGCAAATTCAGAGCAAATCAAATCACCAGAGCAAAGCTGAAAAAACCACAATGTTACACAAGCAAACTAATTTTGATTTTTACAACTTCAATTGGCTGCTAAAATATCAACACTCAAGACACGCTGAAATTTGTTAGATCATTTCTTTCAGTTTCAGTTTCACGCAATATTTTTATGCAAATTTCCTTAAATTAGATAACGCTTTTATACAAATTGGCTGTAAATTAGTTTAGTTGAATTGGTAAACTGGCCTATGCCGTAAAGCATGTTTTATCCTTCATTTAATTATCCTTTTCCTCCGTTTCACAAACACACATGGAAAAAGAAACAAAAGGACTTGGCAAAGTTCGTTATCAAAATGCTTTTGTGATTGTCTTTTACAGCAATAATTAAGCCCAATTTATTTTACACTCTTTGAACGATTGTTGAGCAAGTGCAAATGCCGGGGTAATAGAAATGGCTTCCATAGCTTTTGAGTTCCCCATTTTACTTTCCACGAAGCGCTTCTGTCCGTTCTCGTTTTCATTTCGTTGCTGTTTCATTTCGTCCTCGACTCGCGATTAATCAAATTTTAAATCGTTCTACCGCATATTTCTTTCCATTTCTCCGTGGCCACTCAACTCTTGTTCGAAACTCCCCACAAAAACACTTGCAAACACCACAGGACACTTGCAGCGAGGTCCACGACCCGGCAGCGACGCATCCGGAGCCGGAGCTCATCATCAGCTGCCACCGGGATCAGCGGGATCAGTGCCATCGGAATAATCTCCAGAGGGAAAGCAAAGTCATCACCCGATCACAATCATCGGCGTCGACCGCGCCGCATGCTCCAGTGCATCAACTGAAGCAGCAGCAATCTCTGCCCACACCTCTGACCCAGCAGCCCAGCCACAATCCGCACCACAACCCCCAGACCCCCAAGTCCGTCTCCATTCTCGTCTACAAGACCCTGAACACCGTCTTCAAGAGCAGCCGCAAGATCATCGTTCGTGTGTGTGAGGTGGCCAGCGCCAAGAAGTCCTTCACCATGTTCAAGTTCAACAAGGCCGCCCAGCAGCAGCGGATCGACAATCGGAACAGTGCCGTCACTGGACACGATCCCTTCGTCCGACCACCAGTGCCCGAAAAGTGAGTGCTCCGATGTACCGAGAGTTGCGGAACTCCCAGCTGCAGTGTGGAGATAGGTGTTTGAAAAGCTTTGGAAACGAACATTGGCAGAGTCAGACATTTAGTTATTCCTTAAACACATTGGTACTCATACACAAAATCGGATGTTGAGGATCCGAGAGCATTTCTGAAATGCAGTGTCTTGCCTAACAATTAAACAGAAAATATTAAGCCGTAGAACTCAATGTTAGCTCTGAAGCGAGTAAAGCCTTTTCAACCGCCTAACCAGAAAACAGTTTCAATTCCGAAATGTCAATGTGCTTGTCTCCCAATACTCCCAATACAATGCAACCGATAGGAAAGTGAGGAACATCATGAAGAAGCTGCACAAGGCGAACGGCCTCAAACGCTCCAACTCGGCGATCGAGTTCGATGTCTCGGCCCTGACAGCTGCCAATCGCCGACAGATCTACAGTAGGTGAGTAACCAGCGATCGCGAGATATACATGCTCGTATATGCGTGTGTAAGTTAACTACAGTTAATACAAAACAATATAAACAGCTTACTAATCAATAAATAATAAAATCTAATAACAATAAATACGAAACAATATTTAACCAGAATTGCCTAAATAGTAAATAACAAAATATTTAACAAGAATTGCAACATTGTTCAGTTCAATAATCTAAACATCCGCTCAAACGTCGCAAATGCCACCAACAGCGTCCGTTGTTTGTCTTGCGTGCGCACTTTCGGCCCTTGACGACAAATTGCTTACTTTGCAGATCATGGTCAGTTCAAACCAGATCTGCAGAGCTCTGCCGCGTCGCTGCCTGACACCCACAGCTAGCTTAGGGAATTCTAAAAACCCTTCTGTTCAGTCACAAATTAGAGTTGAATAAAACCACAACGAAATAAAGTTTCTGAGTTTTTAATTAAACGGGAAATTAATTGGCGCCCGAACAGGGACCAGTGAGAGGAAAAGTGATTAAGTTCAGTTTAGTGCAAAAAACTAAAAGTTATTGTGCGACTCCACTGGCCCAAGAACAAAACCCAGTTGTAATCCGAAGTGGCTCTTTTCATTAATTTGGAAATCGGAAAGCAACACAGGATTGGCAAATTAAATTTTGCTGATTTATCGGTGGTCTACAAGTCTTGTCAGGTACGCCCGCAGGACACCCTCTTTTTTGTGTGCGTCGCAGGATCCCAAGTAGAAACCGAACAGGACAACATCCGGACCATCAGGAGGAGTAGCCGCATCATTCAAATAATGTAAGCTAGTGAATAAGTAAAAACAGAAAAAAAGAACACACTAACCAAATCGAAATAAGTTTTAAGTAAAAACAAACCAAAATAATTTTAATTAAAAACAAAAGTGGAAGTGAGTGCTAAAAGGAAACAATAACTAGAAAAAAATCCTTATAAAAAAGGGAATCAAAATTAATACAAATTCCCTACTATAACAAAATAAAAAGGCGTAAAGCGATAACTAAATAAACTCCACCACTCAGTCTGCAGCTGAACAAATAAAATAAAAAAAAAAAATCTTTCCAACGAGTGGTATAACAAAACCCAATCTTGCGAATCCTAATCAAAGGACCCTCCAAGGTAAAAGGGTAAAACCAGCTACTGGTTTTCATTGCATTCTCTTCAGTCACTCAAATATAAAAAATTTTTTAACTAAATCTCACCAACGAACAAAATATTTTAAAAAAAAAAAAAAAAAACCTTTTTAATACCAATTCCTTTTCGCACCAATCTTTCATAATAATTTTAAGTCAAACACAAATTAATAACACAAAACACACTCTAATTCTAAGTAAATTTAAACACCGAATCAAACCTAATTTTTCCCCAATATCGATAAACGTATTAGTTTAAGTTAATTCAAATATCAAACCAAATCAAATTCCCCAACATCGACAAATTCCCTTACAAAATTCATTCGTATGGCTAATCAAAACAACCTTCTCAGGCCACCCATTCTCAACTTAGAACAGCCAGTTATACCAGCAATAGAGAACATAGAACAGCAGCTAATCGAAGAAAATTCACGCCATAGACAAAGACAAGAATTATTTCAACAAAATAGAAATATGGAGCAAGAACAATTACAAACTACAATTCGCCAAGTTTTAGCCGAACAATTTCCAACTTTACTACTTAAAGCCCAAAATCCAACACATGACTTTACAAACGCAGAAAACCAAGAAATTTTACCACAATTCCGAGCAAATTTAGCTGATCTTGATAAGATCCCTGACATAGTAAAAAGTCTTCGCGAATTTTCTGGCAATCCGGCCGAATTCAGTTCGTGGAAGAAAGGCATTGATAGAATACTAAAAACGTATGAACACACCGTAGGTACCCCAAAATATTTTGGAATTTTACATACTATTAGGAATAAAATTACCGGTAACGCAGATACAGCCCTCGAATCATACAATGTTCCCCTTAATTGGAATGCTATCTCCAAATGTCTTACACTACACTATGCCGACAAGAGAGATTTAGGTACACTTGAATACCAAATGACAACAATAACCCAAGCTGCAAACCAAACTGTTGAAGAATTCCACCAAGCAGTATACAAACATTTATCCCTGATTTTAAATAAAATTGGTTGCATGGAATTATGCGCCGAATCAGAACAACTTATGACCAAGTTGTATAGGGATAAAGCACTAGACACCTTCGTTCGAGGACTTCGTGGAGACTTGCCACGACTTCTGGGCATCAAAGAGCCCACTGACTTACCCTCAGCCCTCCATCTGTGCTTGAAATTAGAAAATCAAGCATACCGAACAAATCACGCGACGATTAAAGGACAACCTATTGCACATAGAAATACACCACCAAAGCATATTACAGTTCCTCAACAAACGCATTTTCAACAAAACCCAAATTTCCAACAAAGACCAATGGTTCCACCAAAAAATCAGTATGCCATGATCAGACCTAATAATAACTTTGGACAGCCACCAACAAGACCATTCTTCCCTCAGACCGCACAAAATACTAATCCACAGTTTCTAATGTACCAATCAAAGCCACAACCAAAACCAGAACCTATGGACGTTGACAGAAGTATTCAAACAAGACAAATAAATTATATGAATAGGCCACCCCAGATGGAAGTAGGAAAAAGACCGCCAGCATTAAGCACAACACAAAACGACGCTAATAAAAGGCAAAGAAATTTTAACATTCAAACAAGCACAGACGAACAAACAGACACAGACTACTCTAATAGCACACTTGACGAATATGAACAGTTAATTGCAAGCCAAGACGAACAGCAAGACCAAGAAGAAAGTTTGACAGACTATACGGAACGTGTTGAGGAAAATGACCAAGAATATCAATACGACTATACTTATCTTAATTTTTTAGAGTAACCGACTCCTCATTACCATACTTCCAATGTAAGGTGAGGAGTGGCCAAGTGCTTAACATATTAATAGACACCGGTTCAAATAGAAATTATATCCAACCCAAATTCGTCCCAAATCCATTAAAAAACAAAAATCCATTTCAAGCAGTCTCTGTAGGAGGCAACATTAAAATAACCCATTACAAGTTGGCAAACCTATTCAACGACCCAAACACTATAGTTAAGTTTTTCCTACTCCCTACACTAAAGACGTTTGACGCTATACTGGGAAGCGACAGCTTAAAAGAACTAGGTGCTGTAATTGACATCAAAAACAAACTAATGTTATTAAAAAATGGCATGAGTGTCCCAATACAAGAAAAGAAATTTGAATCCGTAAACGTAATAATTCCGAGAACAGAACACCTGACTGAATCTCAAAAAACAAACTTAAGCCAACTCGTGAAAAAATATCCCAACCTTTTTGCTGAGCCCAACGAAAAACTGACCTACATCACTAGAGTCAAAGCAGAAATCCGCACAAACACAGACACTCCGGTTTATTCGAAATTTTACCCATTCCCATTTGCCTTAAAGGACGAAGTCAACAAGCAAATCAATGAACTTTTAGAAAATGAAATAATTCGTCCGTCCCGTTCTCCCTACAATTCACCAGTGTGGATTGTACCTAAAAAGCTAGACGCGTCAAATATAAAAAAATATAGAATGGTAATTGACTACCGAAAATTGAATAGCGTTACAATAGCAGACAAATACCCCATACCAGATATCAACACAGTACTAGCACAACTAGGTAATAATAAATTGTATTCTGTCCTTGACCTCAAGAGTGGATTTCACCAAATACAGCTAAAAGAGAGTGACATAGAAAAAACAGCATTTTCCATAAATAACGGAAAATACGAATTTACCAGACTACCTTTCGGACTAAAAAACGCACCCTCTATATTCCAACGCGCCCTCGACGATATTCTTAGAGAGCACATAGGCAAAATCTGTTACATTTACATTGACGACATAATAGTCTTTAGCCAGGACGAAGAAACACACTGCAAAAATCTTGACTTAATTTTTGATACCTTAAATGCAGCTAATATAAAATGTCAACTAGATAAATGCGAATTTTTTAAAAACAAAGTAGAGTTTCTGGGATTTGTTATATCCGATAAAGGAATAGAAACAAATCCAGCAAAAGTAGAAGCAATAGCCAACTATCCCCAACCAAAAACAGTTAAAGAATTAAGAGCATTTCTTGGATTATCAAGTTACTATAGAAGATTTATAATGAGTTACGCAGCGCTAGCTAGACCGCTCACAGCATTGCTCAGAGGAGAAGACGGTCGTATTTCCAAATCAGCTTCAGCTAGAAAACAAATTCAATTCAATGATGAAGCCATAAAGGCGTTCGAAAAAATCAAAAGTACCCTAATTTCCGATGATGTCATTTTACAATATCCCGACTTTAATAAAGAATTTGCCCTAACTACAGATGCATCAGACTATGCAATAGGGGCAGTACTTTCCCAAAACGACAGACCAATATCATTCATATCTAGAACCCTATCCGAAACAGAAGAAAATTACGAAACAGCCAAAAAAGAAATGTTAGCCATATGTTGGGCAGTAAAAACATTCAAAGGCTATTTGTATGGAGGGACAAAGGTGAAAATTTATACAGACCATGAACCGCTTACGCACGACTGTAACTGGAAAGGCGGTATAGCAATTAGGAGATGGAAGACATACCTTGACGAATATAACAAAGAACTTCTTTATAAACCAGGAAAGGAAAATGTAGTGGCAGATGCTCTTTCTAGGGCCCCTAAAAGAAATCAAATAAATTCAATTGCCTCAACACAACATAGCGCTCAAAGCTCAAACCAAAATCTCATCCCTAGTATCGAGGTCCCGATTAACGCATTTAAAAATCAAATATTTATTCATAAAGAACATCCACCTGACTACAAATTCATAATTCCATTCCCCACATTCCACAGACATATAATTTCACAACAAACATTTTCTGAAGTTGACTTATTAAAATTACTGCAAAGGTACTTAAACCCAACAGTAATAAATGGAA